ATCGTTCTTATAAAAGATCAGAAAAGCCGCTGAAACAGTTTATTCAAAAATGCGTTAAAATGCACTTTATCTATTTTTATGCTAAAACATTTTCTTTCTTTTTTTTTAAAAAAACAACTCTTTTTTTTATACCTTGGACTTTGAATACTTTATTTGTAATAATGAGCTCAAGGTATGTACCAATTTTCAGCTTTATGCAAATTATTGCAAATCTACCACTATTTTTTTTTTGTCTATTTTGACCGAATTAATAAATATGAAAATGTAAAAACCGAGATTACTGAAAATGATTGAAAACCTTCAAAATTTAAGCTTTCGTTTTTTAATTAAAGAAGAGTCAAAACGTTTTTGAGTAAACAAGAGTCCTCGGCGTAAATTTTCTCACGAGGAACTATTTTTCACGTATTTCTCCTAAGGAAACAGGTGAAAAATAATTTTAAAGGTTTTTAATACTTTTCAGCAATCTCAATTTTAATGTTTTTAAAAATCGTATAAATTGCAATGCAATGCTTTCTTATTTATGATTTTGTTAATAGTAAGATACGTCGCATAAAAAGATTTAAAAAAAATTAAAAAGACTGTATTAAACTAAAAAGTAATTTATGACATTTGGTATACCAATTGCAACTTTAATGATTTTAAAAATTGAACAGATTCAAGTATTAAAATGGAAAAATTGCGAGAGTAACTTATTTAAAATGGCAAAACTACTGTCTAGTTTCAAAAAATGAACAGTTTCACGTTGAATGCACATTGTGTCCTGACGGTCCAAAGAAAAAATTTATTGAACAAACAGACTACAATACAAAACAAGTTCACGTTCATTTATGGAAGTCTCATCAATATCGCCATGTTCCTTCTGCTGACAAATTCAAAAAATCAACGCACCGTCAATCTCGCTCAAAAATGATTGACTCGTTTTTTAATGTGAAACTAACATTGACTGACAAAATTGTTGCTAAGCTAGCATCTAATATTGGACTTAGTTTAAACCAAATTGCGAATCCATTGGTGCAAAAGCTTATTGAAAATTATACAATGTTTGAAGCTTCCAAAAACGTCGTTCGTCAGACAATATATAACTCATCAGCGTATGCGAGGGACAAAGTGATGAAAGAAATAACGTTGATAAAATCCAATGGAGGAAAGTTTTCCTATGTGAGTAATGAGGCAACATTTAAACAAATTAAAGTTTTGAACATTAATATTTTTGGACCCAACAATTACAATCATCTTAGTATGATCAAAATAGGAAAAGAATGTGATGCTAAAACTCTTTTTTGAGGTTGCACAATTATCAATTAATGACTTTCGGCATTGATCCAGACGGAGATTGCATTGATCAAACTATGGATGGAGAAGGTATTTATACTAAATCCAGCCGTCTCTCCCAACAACTTCCTCACATTTGCTATGATCATAGAATCCATCTTTATGTAACACAAGTACTAAAACGTAAAAAGATAATTACAGATATCAATCGAGCAAATAAGAACTTATCAAACCAAAGTAAAGAAGAATCAGATACAGAGAGGACATGTAAGCATCTACATCTCAGAGTTTTTGCAACGCACCAAGCGTGCTTAGTTTAGAAACAAAAGAGGAAGAAGATAAATACAAAAATAAAACTGAATCAAATTCTGATGAAGAAAACGTGGAAAAGGAGTACGATTTTGCATTGCCTAGTACTAAAACTCTCGAAGATGTTCGAATTATTGTAAACAAATTAAAATACAAACCTAAATTAGTCAAAGAGCTAAAGAAAATGCTCAATCTCGTGGAATCAAGTTCAAATTCCTAGTTCTTGATGTCAGAACGCGTGGACAGTGCATTGAAAATTGAAAACTTTTAAAGGCATGATCCCAGCTATAAAAAAAAAAAAACTTTTAAATCATTTGGACATGATTGGCCTAATTATTTAGAGACAAGCATTCCTGAATTAAAGAGACAAGCATTACGAAGTAGCAACTCTTTAGCCATGTCAAATGGCTCGCAATGCCATGAGTGGCAATAATGCTGACTTGAACATTGCAGAAGAGACATTAGAATTTTTGTTAAAGGAATTGCAAATAAAGAAAAATTTTATTTGTGCTCTTTTGATTGAATATATTTAAAAAGAGATTTTTAAAAGACGTCCGATCTTAACTACTCGTCTGCTCAAATTTCTGAACAACCCAGAAATTCTTGAAGAGCCGAAAGTGTCCCCATTCTTACACTCATCAAATAAAGAAATTATCAAAGAAGCAAAAGAGGCTTTGGCTTAAATATTTTTTCACTCGATCCAGTAATGATGACACTGATGATGTTGTGGAAATTGCATCTGAAGCTCATTAGACAGTCGAAAAAAATCTCAATGATCCTATGTTACGTCTTCTTGTTTCCTTAAAACGTCGAACAACTCCAAACTTTGTTCCAAAGCTCAAAGACCCATCTAGAAAAAAAAAAGAGAATCCAATGCCCGACAATAAATGCAAGTCACTGATCCTAATGATTTGACTGCTGATGAGTTTAACAGCTACTTTACGACTGGATTCAAATCAGAAAAGTTATGCATGTTAGAAAATGCGTTGAAGTTAACCAAGCCAACATCGATTTGATTTTAATTTTGATTTGATTTGAACAAAATTTTTCAATTTTCAAGCAACCACCGTAGTAAGAAACGGAAGAGAATGACAGCTGCAACTTTGAAAGACTTAATTTATTTGAAAAGTTTTTTCGAGAGTCAACATTAGTTTGATAAATGTAGAAAACTTATGGTTTATTAATATAATAATAATAAAAAATTATAAAACACAAATTTTTCAGAAAATTTTAGTTTATTTTCATAGTTTTTATATTTTTTAAAAGATATTGGTTTTATCTCGGTTTCGTACGAGATCTCGTCTCGGAAAAATATTGTCTCTTATGGACTGTGAACCGAGACGAAAAAAAACTCGAGATTCTGAAAGAATAGATTTTGCTTAACTTAGCACATCACTGGTAAAATCAAAATCATCTATAGTTCAAGTGAGGGCCACAGTGATATCAAGTGATTGTTTTGCAATCAATTTTATAGCTGCAATCCAAGCTGTATAGCTGCAAATCTGAGTTTTATAACTGCAATCCGAGCTGCAAATCCAAGTTTTATAGCTGTAATCTGAGCTAACCGCCTGGTGCCCGAAAGCTTGGGATGCAAGATTCTTCTCATTTCTTGTAAAATGTTTCAACTATCTAAGTAGTTGCTAAAGAATACGTAAAGATACTTGATTTTTCAAAAAATTCTTGCGAAAAATATCTTATCGTATAAAATAACTGTATGTATTATAGCTAAATTCATGCTAGAATACACACAGGAGTATAGAATATAACCAGGAAAACATACAACGTCAGATATTAGAATAGTTAGGGCAATGTTGCTCGAACGTTGGACCAAGATTTTGTGCTTCTTAGGTATAAGTTCGATATAAGTTCCACCCACATTTTAGCCATTTTCGTAACCTCTTCAAAAATAAGAATAGCCCCCATATCGTTTTCTACACAAAGAAAGTCCTATTCATCTCTAAGATTTACAAATAAAAGTTAAAGAGAAAAAAGTAAAAATTAAAAGTGCTTTTTGTTTGATATATTGGTGATGACGATAATGTATTCTAGCTCTGAAGTTCTTTAATAGACTACACTGCACCAATAAAGCATACTCCCTTATAATGTCATTTTGTAATTTCCGTTATTGGTAATAGACCTGTCACAAACTTTGAATCAAAAACTTTCCAAGGAGGAGTTGTAAATAACATTTATTACTATTTTTTTAATTTATGGCAGCATCAAAGCAACATCAAGGTCTAAAAATATTTTAGTTAGATTATTTTTTCAAATTTTTTTGTTTGAAAGTTTTATCAATATTTAGTCTTGCACTATCAAGGCAAAAAAAATCTACTAACAGACTTTATTAGGGAAATTATTAGATAGATTTATATTAATCTGTTAACACTTGCACTTATTTGTTTTATATGTGCAAGTCACATTACAGTTAAAAGAAGTCGTTTAATGTTAAAAACAAGTTTTTCAAGTCGTTTTTAACATTAAACGAGAACATACATACATATTTATATTTTTAATTTTATTTACCTAACAAAGGCCAAGAGGGCTACAACAGTCAAGGTGGCTAATTTTTGTGGTTACAACCCTTTCTCAACTTTTTAACTCCGAAACACGAACCTTGGAGAATTTAGCCGCTGTGCAGAGAAACAAGTTGGGAAACAATTTCCCCAGCATATCCTCGAGTATCGTACTAAAAATGTATTTTAATGTTCTAAATTAAAGTTTTAAACACTTGAGAAATTGAAAGTAAAAAAAAAAGTTGTCATATTTAGTTAAAAATCAATTCGTTATATACAAGAAAAAGTTTAATTTTGTTGAACTGGCACATGGCAGTAGATCATGGTTTTACCGATCATTGTTTATATCTTCTGCAGGTTGCTTTGAATAAACAGAATATGCTTTTTTGGTATATCAGTCACCATGAAACGCTCTCCTAATTTTTCTTTTTTTTCAATTTTTTTGCTTTTTCATAGTTTGCATAAGTAGATCCAACGTTTGTCCCAACGTTTGTAAAACATCTCATAAGTTGGTTATTAACGAGCAGAAAATATAAATATTATATAGAACCATTTTTTAAGTTTTCTTCACATATTTTATTTTACTTTTATTTTATTGTCATTATATTTAATGTAATAAAAATCTAGGTTAAAATATACTCTCAAAATAAAACTATTTTAAAATCATCAATGAAAATGGATAAACATTCACAAACTACTAAAAATTTATGAAATTCTAATTCTGTTATAAAATTATGTCTTGTCAATAAGGTTACTTTTATTAAAAAAACTATTTTAATGATAAATTTTATTATACCCTAAATTTTTACATTTTTAATCAACATTTTGACAGCATTAGCGCTTCATACAAAATATAAAATGACTATCATGCCACCATTGATTTTTTTTTCTGTAAAATTTTTTCAGATACCTCAATACGGTCTAAACGCTTTGCCAACCGAATGTTAAACAATAAAGGTGCACCTGGTATAAACGAGCCTCTATTTCGTCCTTCTTTGAAGTCGGATGCAAGTTTAAATGAGAAAAAGTCATCAATTGGAACAGATTTATGAATAGTTATAATTAATACTTAAAGTACTTAATTCTTAGTTTATCGCTCTACCACATTTGCTTTAATGAATAACATGCACTGATGTGAACCTTTTTTGTTTTGCTTTGTGTTATTACTCGTTTTTATACTTTTTATACTAAAGGAAAATACATTTAATTTATTGTAAAAATTTTCATTTTAAGTTGAAGTAAGTTATTACAAGTTAGTATAAATTAGTGTAAATTAGCTTTACTAACATTATATAGTAATTCAGTTTTACTAACATGATATTGTAATTCAGTAGCGTAGCGATAAAAAATACCCTCTCCCCGAAAAATATTAATCTGGACCCCTAATTTACTTCAATCTTACCTCCCCTTCTCCCTCTTTGAAAAAAAAATCTTATTCTTAAGCACAATTTTTAATTTAATGACATGAAAACCAGTGAAAGCTGATGTTGATCATTGAAGCAGATTTGCTTGTTTTAACATGCATTGACCAATGCCAGTTTCAAGGGTTAACCGATAACCCACAAGGTTGAAAACAGCAACTTCTAAATAAAAATTTTCCAGGTTGACCGCAAAAACCTCTGAAACCTCTGTAACAACAGCAGATTGAGAACAGAAATTCAGTGAAATGAATAGTACAATGACATCAGTAGGGTTATGCCTGCAAGTTAAAACAATGAGCTAATGTTTATAAAATTATTAGAACTAGGCTATTTCATTTGTTTAATCTTAAATGTTATGCTTGAAGGTGGATTGAAAAACATGTTTTAGTTGATGGTTTAAAAAGTGAGTTCATTATAAACTGAGTTTATAATGAAAAAGTGAGTTCATTATAAACTGAAAAAGTGAGTTCATTATAAAGAAAAAAAGTGAGTTCATTATAAACTGATTTGGAAGATACTTGTATAATGGCAGGTTCCAGAGAAGATTTCTCAATTTGAATACTATAGTATTGACTGTTCTCAATATATCATTGTATCAATTGTATTCTCGGTATATTATTGGTAATATTATTTGTAATATGTAGAATCTTAGATAGTTAAACATTATGCATTTGTTGTTAAAATACATTGCTTTTCTGGATTTAAAACTTTGCAATTGTCAAATTATGTTCCTGAAAAAAAAGTACCACCACTTTATACTCAGATTTTGATCGGTAGTAGTGCAATTGTCAAAAAATACTCTAGGCGGACACGATCAACGTATGTTAGAGTATGTAAGTCCAATATGGTGAAAATCTAATTAAAACTTTTTTTTTTGCCTTTTTAGCCGCAATTTTAACATTTTTAAAAAAAATTTTAACATTTTTTAAATTTAATGCGGCTAATTCTTTTTCAATAGTTAAATGTCTAGCACAGCCAAACTGTTTTGCGCAACTATTGTCCTTAAATGGACTAAAAGATTATTTTGCAGTTGCCATGTTAACGGTAAATGTCAAATATAGCATAAGTACTGCAATTATATCAGTGATTGGGCAACTTATACCAGAATATGTTATTATGGATACAAGTGAAATGCAGAAAGGCGGAAATTTTAAAAGGTTAAAATGCATGATAAGTTTGCTAAAAGTTTCTCCTCACCCTATTGTTATCAAAACCCAGACCATCAAGTTAACGTAGCATTACTTTTTTTGCATGTTCTCTTAAATCAATTGTACTAAGCTCCTATTTCCCAATTTTTTATAGCTCTTAAAATACAGATTTGGAAATTAAATGCCCGCATTGTTTGTGTAGATTTAAAAAGCTCTTGGGTGTGCGATGAAAATACAACAGAATTCATATCTGGAAAATGAACCAGAAATCTAAAACAATAGATAAATAAAGCTTTCTTTTTATGCAAACCATCTAGCCTGTGGAGACTTTACAGAACCATTACGATCTTTTCCAATTTTAGTATCAAGATTTTTCGAGCAGTGCTACCTCACAAAACTTAGCTGCTGCAACATCTACCAGATTCAAAATTTGGCCAATGCATGAAACATTTTTATCTAGTGAACTTAACTCATTAAAATAGACTGTCGACCCAGTGTAGACCCTATAGATACTGGAAGCATTATTATACGACTACCCACGGCAACTACTAAATTTTATGCCGTGCATCTCTATTGTCTTTTTGATAAGATTAAACATATTAGCTGCCATGATCTCTCATTGGAATGAATGATCAAAAACTTTTAACTGGTTTATCGTCAAGCCATACATACCGAACAACAGAAGTTAGTTAATCTAAGTGCGAAACGACTGTGGTTGAATTAACAATCAATAAATAATGTTTGGCATTTTTAAGTTCAATAACTGAAGGAAAGAAGTTTGAATATATAAATAATGTTATTTTAAACTTGTCAATTGCTTTTTTTAAAGCAATTTCAAAGTATATCAAATAAAAATATAAAAGCGATTTATACCTACCAAATATTTATAAAAGTGATTTGCCAAGTTGCTTAATAAACTCTTCACAAACTTTTTCTGAGAGATAGGAAGTGATAACTTTACCTATGTTTACTTATCTGTTTCTATGTTTAGCTAAAAACGGGTTGTATTCAGCTAGCAACTATAGTGAGCCAAGAAAATTTCCATTATGACATGATTCAATTTTTTGGTCTTATCCACAAAATGCTACTACTGTTATGCGTCATACGTAAAAAAATAAATCATAAGACCTACATAAATTTCAGCAGCCGTGACGCAGTGAATAGAGTTCTGGCTTGAAACCCAGAGGTTCGTGGTTCAACGCCAGCCTAGCTCATGAGCAATAACGGCAAGAAAGGAGGCGCGAACTTCTAGTTATATACTCTCCCGCAGTGCTCTGTGATAAGGCCGTAAGGACTTCTGGGAGCACCTAAATAACCTAAAATAAATAAATTAATATGTATATAGTTTTGGTTTAAAAAGATAAAAACCCAAAAATATAAAAATAATTAAACATTACGTGGAAGAAAGAAATTTAGCGACATATACCCCTCGACAAAACACTTTTATCCAATCTAACAAATTTGCAATCAATCCTGTATTCACTTAGATTTACAGAGATAAAGGTAACATTATTATATTTAGCAGTTTGCTCAGGCTCACTGATTGTCTTATGAGCAATGTGTTGCAGTTGTCCAGTTGTAAAATACATCTTCGCTCTCTAAAGAACTAGTTTCCTTAAAAAGAAGCAAGATTTGCAGTAAAAACTACCCCTTCTTGGCAGTATATACCAGCTAAGTGCGTCCTTTTTTTCCCTCCGTTTTCAAGCTTTTAAAAAAATAACTCTTAAGTTCCAGCATTGTCTCGGATTTCAGACTTTGATAAACCAGTGACGTTAACGTATCGTTTTGCTGAATTGTTGTGAAAAATTTTAACAGGCTGTTGACGTCTATAGTTGGGAAAAAATACTTCGAAGTTCTGAACAAATTTATTGCCACGTGCACTGATGGAATCCAAGGTTGCATCCACTACTGTTTTTAACAATCCATCAAATTGTTTTTTTGCAAAAAAAAATTGTCAACTTTGGCAAGGACGCAGCACATATAGGTTTCCGATTGGTTTTATAATTGCCTCTTTGTACTACTAACGTACTAGTAACGCATTTTTTTTCAATTTTGAGAGAGAGAGATGAAAGAAGGAAGGGAGAAGGAAGAGGGAAGTTGGGGGGGGGGGGTATTAACGGTCTTATTAAAAAACAAACAACAAGTAAACCCAGCAAACAAATAAAAAAAACTAAAAAAAAAACAAAACACATTAGCAAGATATTTATTCTTCTTTTTAAATCATACAATAATATTATAATAATAATAAATTTAATAATAATAATAATAATTAAAAATAAATAAATCATAATTCAATTGATTTTAGAAAGTGAAAATAATTGATTTATAATTAAATAAATACATTTATATATATATATATATATATATATATATATATATATATATATATATATATATATATATATATATATATATATATATATATATATATATATATATATATATATATAATAATAATAATAATAGCAATAATAATAATAGCAATAATAATAATAATAATAATAATAATATAAAATAATATAATAATGATTAAATTTATTTTAGGTATTTAATAATAATAACTAAATGATTGATAAGGATGGTATTGCGAGTCTAATAATAAAAGCTGAACTTTTTACAATAAATCTATCGTATTTCTGAAAAATATTGATAATTTTGAGGTTATTTACAAATAGAGGCGATTCTACGAATAAAATGAGAGGAGGGGGGGGGGGGAGGGGATCGAATCCTTAAAAACTAAAATTTACCCAACTAAATTGTGTCAAATACCCGCTAAGCCGACTAAATTTGTATAAAAACCGACTATAACTTGAAAATCAAATTCTGTGTGGGGATGGAGCCTCCCGCCCCCCTCGTAAAAGCGGCTCAGTTTACAAAAAATCTAAAATTGATATTAGTAATATACAATACCGACAGTTTAAAATCCTAGCAAATAATTAAAAAAAAAAAAAAAATTAACTAGCGTATCGAACGTAAATGCTGAAATTCATGTAAAGAGAAAAAATCACCTTTTATATATAAATATAAAGTTATATTACACAAATAACAGAATGCTCAATGTAACAATCCTGTTCATTTCGTCATGCCGATAGCAACGGGATACGGGATAGCAATGTGTGTGTAACGGGATAGCAATGTGTGTGTAAGGTGGAGGGGGGGAGGGAGGGGGGAAGGGCAGCAGGGGTATTTGGCCCCCCAATAATTTTTCAAATTAATAATTTTGATGAAACGGAAAAAATGACCAAATAAAGGTCCTTAAAACTATTTCGAAGTAGTACTGCCCCCCCTTCCCCCTCAATATAATTTTTGTTCCTCCTTTTGTTCGAGACATTTTCTACTCAATATTTTTTTAGTTTTTTATAAAAATTAAGATTAACATTTCACAAGTGTAATATTTAAATATGACAAAGCCAACACTAATATGAAATAATGACTCGAAATTTTTTAAAACACATTTAATGTGCCATTTTTGTAGCTTACAACATTTTTATAAGTTGTGTCAAAACGTATTTCACAAAAAAAAAAAAATAAATAAATAAAAAAAAAAATACAGATTTAAAAATATAACTATTGATAAAATATGCTTTAAAATAGCTGCTGCAAATATATATATTTTTATGTGCAAAAGTTTTTAATTATAGTTATGGATTACAGTTTGGATAAATTTTTGAGTTTATTTTTTTTTAACAATATTAAATCAATCTTATATAATATTATATTATAATAATATATTATATATTTTTTTATAATATTGTATTACAATAATATATTATAATAATATTTTGATACAGTGAATTTAATTTATTTTTTGTCATAACAAAAGATTGTTAAAAAACTGTTGAAATAAATTTATTTATGCTCTAAGAAGAATTAAAATTTATGCTCTATGAAGAAATAAACAGATTTATTTATTTATTATATAGCAGAGTTCTTGGAGATTGTTAATATAAATATAATATAAATGAATAGGTATATATTTTTTAGGACAGATAGGTAGTGTATGCAGATAGTTCTATTTCAATAAATATTGTCAAACATATGGCTACTAGAAGTTTAACAAGAATTTTTGTAAATTTTCGTAGCAGCAGTTCAAGAGCATCAACAAAACGTACTGATTTTAGATCTAAAAAATTTTCGGTTTGTATATTTGATCTTTTTAATTTATTTTTTTTAAAAACAGTATATTTTCCATAAATGTGAATTAGATATCGTGTAGATATATAGGGTTTCTATTAAATGGCTAAATATATATTAATGGTATTATATATGATGATAGTTTATTATTAATATTATTAGTATTTTTATTTTAATTATTCTTGATATTATTATTATCTAATTGCTATTATCATTATCATTATTTTAATTTTAATTTATATACATTTTTTATATATTTGTTAAACACCCAACATACAAGTAAAGTAAATTAAAGTTTCGTTCAGGATAAACAAAAAAATCTTTTTTTTTTAAGATTTTCTTTCAAGCATGATCATCTAGGATTTTTTTTTTCAAGAGTTTTATTGAAGATTGTTCTTTGTTCTTTTGAGTTCCAGCTTAACTGCAGATTTTAGAATTTAAAGATCCAGTTCAGGAATTACATTTTTTTTAATCCTATGATTTTTTTTTTTTACTTTGCATTATTTTCACTAAATTTAGTTCCTGACTAATTACACTAATCCTTAATATTATCTAAAAAAAGTAATGGAACTGTTTTCAGCTGTGACTTAACAATATCAAATGTTGTTTTATTGTTCATAAGGTGAAAAAAGTTTAGCTTGTTTTGTCGTGTAGTTATTGATAATTTTCGCTATGTTGTAAAATGTTGAGGAGTGACTTCAGTGCATGTCTTCTAACTATCTCAAGCTTTTGCATTAATATTTTTTTATGTTCACAAAGCTCAAGACCATAAGTTAATTTTTGAACATCTAAAGTTTTATATAACTGGACAATGGAGTTTGAGTGAGCAAAATGGATTCCTGATTGAATAAAGTTTGGATTACTTGATATTGGTTATCAATGTTTAAACAATTAGGAGATGCAAAAGATGAACTTTTGCATCCCATGTAAAGCCTAGATGACTAACTTTATCATGAAGTTTTATCTGATGGTAGTTAAGTGTTGTTTTGCAGTTTTTAATTTGTTTTTTTACGGTTAGCAAGAACTTGATTTTTTTAGCATTCTATTTTATGGAGTTTTCTTTTATGTTTATATCAAGACTTGTTTTAAATTAAAAATGGCCTTGCTCATTAGCTCTTCATGATTTTGACATCATAAAACTATCTTTATTTTTTTTATTATTTAAGGACATTAACTTTTTTAAACTATTGCAATAAAATAAACTAACGCAAAACAAGTTTATTTTATGAAAAACAAATTTTTTAAATGTACATATTGTGAAATGTCTATTTTGTTTCAATTTTTTTTTTAAATCTTTAATAATTAAACTTATAAATAATTAAACATGTTCACTAGGGTGTCTAAAAAAAATTTTTTTTTCCTTAAAATCAAAATGTGGAGAAGTTTAATCGTTATCATTATGTATCACTAGTTTGTTGTAAAAATTTCGATTTAAAATATGTCTAATAGAATAAGGAAGATACAGATCTTGTGTGACAATTTTATTTCAGATAATTGTTCTAAATAGAGTCGAAAAGCAACAAAATGTTCTGCAGGTACTTCTTTGTAACTTTCTTGTATACTTGCCATCTGTTTTTATGGACAACCAAAAAAATAATAAATAAAATTTTTTTCCTTTTTTTGTTAATAAAAATGGGCATGATATGTGTTTGCCACTCTAAATTGCCTATTTTTTTTTCAAAAACACCCCCTCCCCTATCAAATTCATGCTACAGATCTGTATAATAATGTTTAGTAATTACCTGAAGAGTATCCCAAATTCTATCCTTGTTAAGTGTCCTTTGAATAAAGTCATGAATAAATTTGCACCCTTGAAGTAAACCAGTAGCTGGCAAAGATACATGTAGTCTCCTCTTTGGAAAGTGTTTCTCTGAAGTGCTGTGGTGCAAAATTCTTTAGTTTCAACCGCAAGTTTGTGCAGAGTACCTGGTCTAAATGCAGGCCTTGGCATGAAGCGAGAGTGATTGCTCCCACCACGTGAAACTCGCTCGTTAATGGAATATTTATTGCAGGCGCGATAAAAAATGCTAACTAATTTAGTTACAAGAGTAAAAAATTGCGGTCTCCTAAAAATTTAGGAGGGAGAAAACTAATAATGGTTTATTTCATTTTATATTTAATTTTTTTTTATAAAAAGTTTATGTGATAAGATTCTTGTTTAACTAAACAAAAAGGTTAGCTTATTGTTAAAAACATAATCTTTTTTGTACTAAAAAGTAGAAAATAAACTTTTTAATTTAAATTTAATAGTTCAGTAAACTAAAGATTTACGCAAGGTTTATATAGAAACATACCTGTTAATCTTTAGTAAACTAATACATTTAACTGAACTGAACTATTAAATTTAAATTAAAAGGGTTGTTTCTACTTTTTAGTACAAAAAAGATTATATGTTTAATAATGTTTTGCTATATTTTACTTTCTACTTTTTAACCTTTATAAAAAGTTCCTATATATTCATATTCAACAATTTTTTTTAAAAAAAAAAAAAGTTTTTTTAAAAGATAAAAAATATAAAATACAAACCCACAAGCAATCTTAGCCAACTTTTAAAATGAAAAGCTTTATATATATATATATATATATATATATATATATATATATATATATATATATATATATATATATATATATATATATATATATATATATATATATATATATATATATATATATATATATATATATATATTACTGAAAAAAAGAATAAAAAACCTAAAAGAGTAACAAGCAATATTGCCAATTTTAAATGTAAAAACATTTATTAATGAATGAAGATTATTTTTTAAAAAAAAACAAACATGTAAGCAATTTAGAAGCTTATTTCTATATAAAAGGTTAGTTTTCATATGTCCCTTGTACGTCATAGAAAGTTGAGGAAGAGTTCATGTTAAGTGAACTCATCAAGTCTTTGTCGGTTCGACTAACAGCACTATTGCACTTTCTAACATTGTGTGCATTTCTGTCCGCATTCTTTATGCTATCTTTCTAACACGATTACTTCTGCCTTTCACTTTAACATATCTTCATTCTTCCCAAACTCACCTTACAATCGGTTTGTTGAGCGATTTATGACGCTCCTTTAGGAGTCAAACAAGTCTCTGCGGACCTTTGTAATGTGGCACTCGGCAATTAGCTGACGGAGGATAAACCACAAAATCTTAAGTGAATTCTAACCAAAACTTTGTTAGCGTACTTTAGTTAGGTAAACCTAGCTAGCAGTACGTTTTGCATTTCTGCGCGCTTTCTCTATGCTATCTTTCTAATTCGATTAATTCTGCTTTTCACTTTATCATGTCTTAGTTTTTCCCAAACTCACCTTACCCTCAGTCCGTAGAGCAGGTTATGACGCTTCTTGGGGCGCCAAACTGGTCTTTGCCGGCTATGGTAATGTGGGCTCAATATGTCAATTAGCTGGAGGAGGATAAACCACAATACCAAGAGTTCATGTTAAGTGAAAGAAAAGATTTTAATAATCACTATTCACATATTTTTAATTGCATTTTAGCAGTCAAAGTAAAACATTTAAAAAACTTGTTTCCTAACCTACGTCATACAAAAAAAACTCGTTTTAACCTACGTCATTTGGTAATTTAGAGCATTAGAAATTATTTTGGCCAAAATTTAACTAAATTTAAAAAGCTTTTTTTATTAAAATTATAACATATTGTTTATAACTTAATTAAAATTATAAATTTATTTGAGAAAAAGAAAAGTTTAAGTTTGTGAAAACGTTTGCTAAAAAAGTTATAAAAGTTTTATTAGCGTTAGCAACAAAAAAACATATATGTTTTAACGAAAAGAAATCGTTATTTCATTGTTTTAATGTTTTAATGATGCGAAAACGTTATGAGTTTATATTTTAATTAAACAAATAAAACAATGAAAAAAATGAAAACTTATGAACTTTTTTCAAATAAATTCAATGCAATAATAAAAAAAAATTTACTGTAGTAAGCTTAAGATGAAGACAATAACAAAGAAAATACATAAAAAAAAAAATTTGTTCTTTAAAACAAGATCATTAAGAACTAGGTTGGAAAAAAAATACAAGCAGATGCGATCAAACAATAAATAAATATTTAGGAAGTCAAAAGAATTTTAAATGTTTTGTCAGGCAGTGCGCTGCTAAATATTAGTTTTAAAGTATTTGTCGTCTAAAGAACGCTGTATAACAAATTAAAACTTGATAAAATTGTGTGTAACACCCATATCCAAAAATAAAAGATCGCTCCCGATAACTTAATGACAAGAGCATACAATCGTGCTCGCTAAAAAAATATTTTAGTTTTACGGGCGCAAAACATCGCGCTGGATAATTTTCTTCATGCGAAAGGCCTTAAATGCATCCTTAGATCATTCAAATTTAACAATTTTTTCTAGTTAATTAACTTCTCTATGTATTTGCGGCAATAGCTTCTATAGTAAAACTTAGAGGTGTTTGCTGGGACTTTTTGTTGTACTAAAAACAAGTTCGATGATATGAGACACATGTCTCTCATATATGTGATGTCTGCACATTAGCCATTAAACAGGCCTCCCCAAAGCATGAATAATAACATTTCTTATAGTTCCATTGTTTTTTCCTGTGTTGCTAGCTGTGGTGTCAACACACACTCCAATGATTTGATCAGATTGCTCATAGTATTTGAGGATACTTTGAATAGCTACAGCCTAGTTGCTTTCCTTGGAGCTTTTAATTTTCAAAATAACAAGCAGAAAATCTTAAGGGCCAGCTTCAGGACTTGAGTAGAAATGCTTATAGCTATCCTTTCATGACTTATGGAAATTATTTCTTTACTAGAATCAAAGTAAATTACTAGCTTTAAATCTCTTACTTTATCCACGTTCTGCTCTCGGATGATCTGAGCTTCTGACTCTACTACAGTGTGTGCTTTCCTAGTCAGAGATCTTGAGATCTTCAACTCCTCAATTTTAATAAAACCAGCTTTATAAAGAGATGTCAATAAATAAGTTCCTGGTCGAACACCAATACCATATCT